TTCAGCAAAGCTATGCTTTGCTAGACTCTGGCCTTGGGACTCCAGCTCTGACTCGTAGGCCACCTGCAGGCTGCTATGTAAAAGCACATGTAGTGACTACTGGGGCCATGAGCCAGTACTGTGCTTCCTTCTGAGGGACCCACTCATGATCTGGATGCAAGGAAGGGATGTAAAAATGGGAACAAGGCAAAAAAAAGGGAATGAAGAGAGGAAGCAAAGCATACAGAAAGATGAAAAGAAAGAGGATTCGGGGAAAGAGAGGACAAGAGGCAAGAAGAAAAGAATGTAGGAAAAAGCAAGAGGAAGGAAAGAACGGGAAAGGTGAGAGAAGGGAAATAAAAGAACAGAAATGGCTGAGATAACACTCAGGACAGCTGCAAGTTCAAGAGCGTCTGCTTTTGGTATGCACACTGGCAGATGATTTCCACTTGGATCTTTTAGTGACTATGACCCCATTCAGAAGGAAAATAAACAAGCACCTATGAAAATTTCCAGCACTGGCTGAAGATCCCGACATGTCATCATGTTACAGGGCCACTCTGTGCAGTTCCACCTGCCTATGGAATGTGACGCTTGTACAGTATTGTCAGAACTAACGCCCATATGTCAGAGCCTAAGAGTGCAGCCTGCAGATAACTTCAGAAATCTGACAGATGACCTGGGTGGTGAAGGGCTATCCCAACTGTGATGGGATCAACCACGATTACAGCAAAACTAAGCCATGTTTTCTTTCTTTACTACTGAGGGACTCAGTGACTTACTGGATGCCAGAGGACACACCACCAATTTCCAGACTATTTGCTAACTTTGGGCAGATCACTCCTAACCCTGATCCTGATTTTACTTCAAATGTTTTGCTCCAGAAGCACAGAAAGATTACAAGGCCACAGAGCATAGTAGTACCACAGAATTCATTAAGGAAATGTCCTTGACAACCACCCTTGATGTTCTTTTACCCTGCCCAGTCATTCCTTCCATGGTAGTTGGCTGTAACAACTACTTCATTCACATACTCTAACTTCCCTTGGGTAGAACTTCTGCAGTATCAGTATTAGGGGGAAAAAAAACCCTACAGACTCTCTGTTGTCCAGAGGGTTAGAGACTGCACAGAGCCACACTCTAATCCACAGAACAAAGATACAAAAACATCCTTTTTTACCTGGCCTTGTTTCAGAATCAATTGGTCATGCTTGGCATTTAGAAGCCCTCCTTTCATTAACCAAGCACTCTCAGCTCCTGGTCCTCAATCACTGAGGCAGTAAGACAGAAGAGGGGACACCATCAGCACTACGTTCAATACAGTGGCTCTGTTCTGATCTCCCTGAAAGGATCTGTAGTAATCTAATGGATCCTGACACCTTCACTATCGGCAAGAGACACAGGCTGCCTCTCATTTTCCCTTTGAGTTCAGTCAACAACCTATGTCAAGCCTGTTAAATCAACAGCACCTTGATGAGCACAACAAGATGTCAGATTCCTGAAGTTTCTCAACAGATTCACTGATTTACCATTTCTCCGCTAACAGTTTGACCCTTGGCTTGAGTCAGATGGAATATTATATCTGACTCAATTCCTTTGCCTTTATGAACTTAGTTCACCAGCAACCTTATAAAGGTTCAGTATGTGATATGACTACAAAAATTCAATTGTTCTAAGGAGATCTCATCATTTACTCAATTACATGATTTATCTGAATCATTCCTTTCTAGGCTGCCCAAATTTACAAATCCATTTAGATTTGAAAGAATAGGCTCCAAGACTATAATGAATTTTTTAAAGTAACTGAACACAGACATGGAACTTTCTTGTTTTCAGTGAATTCTCAAAAACTGGCCAAAATTTTCCAGGCAGCACAGTTTAACCTGGATTCTACTGAAATAGTGGTACGTTACTCACACATCTCCACGAATGTATTGACAGACAACTATGGGACTATTTCGGCCTTAACCAACATGTAGGGTAAGACAGTGCTAGTTCAGTTTTCTCTTTGCCAGGATTTTCACTGAGTCTTTATACCAACAAGCAATAACCAACTAGATGATTAAAACTGAGTACCTAGTCTTCCTTGTATTTTCCAGTATTTTTACAAGGAACATAGCGATTTGGGAGAGGAAGAAATTTTTAAAGACTGTATCATGTAAGAAAATTTACCAAAACACAATACTCATCTTATGCAACATTAAATACAATATCTAGTTTCATCACAGATTCAGATCTGGTAGGAAGCTGTCACTTAGACCATGATCTATTATTATCCCTACATTATCTCAGACACTAGCCATCTGTTGCAGTTTTATGGGCCACCATGAGCAGAAAATGCTAACAGTGTCAGTCTCTACTGCTAAAGACCATTCTCTTTCGTTTGGCTGACATATCTCATACTGCAAACAGAGGATAGTGATTAGGAACTCACTGTATCAGTGATGTGGTTTGATTTCTATTTTCTAGCTCTATAATTCACTATGTGTGGCCCCGGGTACTACTGATTATTTTTTCATATTTATGCTCGTTTCAAATTAAAGAATATGTATGGCAACCTTCATGGGAAATTTCAGTTTTAAGTTGGTGAGGTTTTTTAAAAATTTTTATTTTTTTATGCTTGAGATAAACGTTTAAGTGCTCACCGACCTTAGAACCCACCAGTTTTCAAAAACATTATGTAGGCAAACAAGACCAGCTCGTCTTTTTACTAAGTATGAACTGCTTCAGCTAACCGATTTTGATAGCAGATGCTCCGCATTCTGAGTCTCAGAAACCTGAGGACATGTTCCTCCCAGGTGAGTAAGCCTATGACCCGGTAATGGAAGACTGATGAAACTTGAGCCTGTTTGAAATTCAGCAGAAATTCTTCTCCCTGGTAGTTAGAACTTACACCAGATAAAACAATCCCATAAACACGCAACAGTACCTAGATCTCACTCTTAAATAGTCTTTCTGTTCATCGAGTGATTGCCTGTCCGTCTCCTTGGTTCACTATTTTTTTCCTCTTGTTTACAGTAGTGTGACAATCTTCCTTTCCAACACTCTGCCACCCACAATACCTAAAGCCACCTGACTTTGTTAAACTGTGTCACAGCCCTGTTTGTGAAAATCTGCCACCTCATCTTCCCTTCTCAGAAAACATCAAACTGTCTATGCAAAGCGTCGATTGTTTATTTGGAATTTTAAATTTAAGCACTAATTACTTACTATGTTTGTTCAATTGTAATTTTAGTCTTCAGCTTTGAAATTTTCTGTTGAGCTTCTAAACACACACACACACACACACACACACACACACACACACACACACACACAGTTTCTAAAGCCCCCTAACTCAGACTTGTTGGTTGGTACGACTACTGAGCAAATTGCAAGCTCTTTTTCCATACAATTAAGGATTAGGAAACTTGGAAACAAACGCCATGCATATTTAGAATCAGTATTAAGGCTGTAATGCAAAATCTACCAGATGAGAATGGAAGGAAAGATGAGAAAGGGAGGAGGAAGACGCAGGCAGAAAACTGAAGGGCAGGGCCACTCAAAAAGAAAACTGAAGGGTGACAGCACTTTGTATCAACAGTCAAACTCTTGAATAAATGTAGTATCTCCAAGATGACAGACTGCCCCTTCACTCCTCTGGAGTTACTTATGTGGTATCTAATATCAGGAAGGCCTCCTAAGGCATACACACAGCCATTGAGTATTGACAGCCATTTTCCCACTTCCCTATGCAAATCAGATCAAAACATGAGGGCCAGGGATTTAGCTCAGTGGTTCCACCACCTGCCTCACAAGCACAAGGACCTGAGTTCAATCTCCGAGACCAAAAAAACAAACAAACAAAAAAAAGAATTCAAACAATTGGTGATGATCCTCCAAAAATGAAGCTGTGTACTGTTTAAGCTTTTAAAACTTACAGAAAGCAGCCGGGGATTTAGCTCAGTGGTGCCACCACCTGCCTCCCAAGCACAAGGTCCAGAGTTTGATCCCCGGTACCGAAAAAACAAAACAATAAAAAAAACTTACAGAAAGCATCGGTGTCAATCAATCCATATACTGATAATTCTATAAATCGTAAATAATGATTGTATATGTCCATATGATGATCCTAAATAATGTTCAAATATACTGGAACTTTTTTGGGTAAAATCTGAGTGTTTATGGCTGTGAATAATGGTTTGTCAAACATACCATGTGTTAAGATGACAATAAACATTTTGCCTGTTAGTTACAATTACAAAAACAAATTAGCTTTTAGTATAATCTCTTAATATAATGAAAGTCCATTTATTCTCTATGGGATCACTTTGATTCCTGCAAATAAAACTGGACTTAAGATTGCAAAATAGATGAATGATACAAAAAGTTTTTCCTTTCTCTAATAAACAATAAAGGGGGAAAAATGACAAACCTAGAAATAGTGTTTAACATTGGAATAATATGTTCTTACATGTTATAAGCTTTCATATGAAAAGCATAGAAAGAAGGCTCACAACATGTACCAGAAACTATAACATTTGTGAGAAATGAGGAAACCAAAATTTTATCCAAGGATAAAAATAGCCTAGTAACTTTCTTTTCTTCTAAGTCTGTGAAATCATCTCTTTTATGCTTCCCTTTTAATATGAAAAATTAATGTACAGAAAATTTTTAGCAGAAAGAACTAGCAAATTTAAATTTACACCAACTATCTGAAAATTCTGCTTTTAAGTAACACACAAACCCAATTAGCCAAAGGCAAATAATTAAAAACAAAGAAACAAAAGCTTTATTTTTAGAAAAGTACTCTCTGTCTCTCTGTCTCTCTGTCTCTCTCTCTCTCTATATATATATATATCACCTAAACTCTGATAACTTTTAAAAATTTCTGAAAGGTGTTATTAGCCATTAAATGAATAATACCCTTTTATCTAAAGTAAATACTCCAATATTAAGCATTTCAGATATTTTAATATTTTTATTTGGCAAAGAGAAGCCTAAGAATTTTTTAAAAAACATTTCCAGAGGCAACACCTTTTACCATAAAATAAACTTATGTGATTTGGGAGGACAAATCTCAAACGTATGCTTTTGTTTATGTGCCAATTTTATAATTAGTACAAAAAAATTTGTTGAAATATTTTAAAAATGTAAAAACCAGTCCAGGCAACATAGCTATACAATCTTGCTGTAAAAGTACTTGTATCAAATCTGCCCAAAATATTTTTGTAATATACTAAATTGCGTTCCTTAACTTCCTTCTCACTGCCGGCTGGCTTTTCCATTTTCTGCTGCTTCCATCCTGAAAATATTAAAGGGAAAAAATGAGTAGGTAAATTAAAATATTTTAACTATCCACATTTCTTCTACTTAATTATCTACCTTGCATATGGAAACTAAAATCTAATATAGTTATAGAACAGAACATGAACAATCCAGGAAATGATTAAGTCTTCTATTTACTCCAACTTCCTAATTTTACAGACAAGTTATAACTGAGCCCCAAGAGAACGAGTGACTTTCCCAAACTTACACTGTGGTTTTTGTTCACTATACCACTCTCCCTTCTCCAAGCAAAATATGGGAAAAAATCTCTACCATTTAGTCAAGATTTCTTTTCCAGTAAAGATACTCTAAGCATTATATTTTCCTCTAAAGATTTCTTCTAAAAAAATCATTAAAATAATCAGATCTAAGATTTATTCTATTATAATCAATATTTAACTGTACTCTTTGACTGTGTTATTTTGACTGATTATTCATTACACAATAGGAAAACATTTGACTCTTGTTATTTTATACAGATTCAGTGTTGCCTTCTAAGTGTTCTCTATGATTTTCCCTCAGTGATGATTACAAAGCATTGAAAAAACAATGTCATAAGTGGTAAATACTTTCAGGATTATAATCAATATAATTGGTCCCTTTATGAGTACTAAGAATCAAACAAGTTAATTTTTTTGCCTCACAGGTGTCATGCATTAAGTAATAAAAACTTGCTGAGCACAGCAAGCAGTGTTTATCAAGATCTCATCCAGGCAATTAACAAAACCAACTTCTACAACAAATAACACAAACCCATTTTCTTCCTTGAGATGTTGATACAATTCAGCTCTGTTATTAACAGAGTTCAAACGTCCAGCAAACTCTTGATGTTTTCTGGAATTGGCAGTATTGATCCTATTACACCACAGTGATAATAAGGACACTGGCCCTAGTGTTGTATTAGAAAGAAAAGAAACAAAGGTAAGAAAATTTATTACTTGGAAATTCACAAATTTAATAAACTTCCATTTAATTTTATTGTTCATCTTATACCAGTAAGGTAATAACATCTCTTATTTTAAAATGTATATATTTCAGGGTCCCCATGAGTATTCAGTAGTCTCACTGCTTTTCTGAAAGGATTTAAATGACTTTAAATTAAAGTTACACTGCTGACTAAGAATTAGCAACGCCTAGATGAATCCACATTTACAATTTCCTTGTTCTCTGCCTTCAATGACAGCTCACAGAAAGTACATACTCCTTCTAGAGATAAAAATGCAGGTGTGTGTGTGTGTGTGTGTGTGTGTGTGTGTGTGTGTGTGTGTGTTTGTGTGTGTGTGTGTGTGTGTGTGTGTGTGTGTGTGTCAGTTCTGCCAAGAACACCTGTTTGAGACTCACTCAGAATCCAGTGTTTTTACTGGGGACTAACTGTAGGCATTCTTGGCTTAACCAAATAACCTGAGTTCCAGACTTCCAAAGTGCAAGCTTTGTACAGTTCAGATGAGTCAAAATTACTTCACTTCATCATTTACAGAACTTTTCAAATGCTAAGTTCCCAGATGCCAGCCAAATGCCAAGCTTAAAGCAAGCTTTTCTGATAACAGCTTCAAGCCTGTAAAGTTTAAATTCTTTCCTACACAAGATAAGGCAAAAGAACTACAACAGCCAAAACATTTTGAGAAGGAAAACAACAAGGAGGAGAAGGTGTGTGTGTGGGAAGGGAGCAGTAGCAGCAGTAGGGTAGTAGTAGTAGTAGTCAGAGGACTTTCTACTACCTGATTTCAAGACTTAACTTGATTATAACTATATGCTACTGATGAAAGGACAGAGCAACAGACCCACAGGACATATGATAGAAACCAGGCACAGACTCTCATATACACAGTTAAATGACTTGTAATAGATACATAAGAGCAATTCAATGAAGAAGAGGGATATCCAAATACTTCACCAAATTACCTATTCCAGTTTTTAAAATATTTTAATGTATGTTAATTTGATTCATTTATACTACTAGTTTTTTTAGTTTGCTGAAAATAAGTTTCATGTTATTATCTGTTTCTTCTTTGTAAGAATGTTCCAGTCTATGTCTTGTAATCTGAGTAACTACTTTAAAGATACTGACACACAGTTTATTAAAAAATGGACAAGATGTTTGACTGGAACCTTCACCAATGAAAATAGACAGATGGCAAATAAACAAATGGAAGTCTTGTCATCATTAGACATGCAAGAAATGTAAATTAAAACAACAATAAATTACTTATTAGAAGAGCTAAAACAACAACTAATAACCCTGACAACACAAGGGCAGATGAGAATACACAACAACCAGAACTCACCAGTAGGAATATAAACTGGCACAAGCAATTTGGAAAAATAAGCTTGCAGCCATACACTTTATAAATAAATAATGGGAAAAAAGAACAAAGTATAAATACACACAACAGAGATGAATCTGAAATGCACTATGCCATGCGACAATCTCAAAGGACATAATATTAGATTTCATTTAAAAGATACTCTGAAAAAGGCACGACTATAGGAAGAGAAAACACACCAGTGATTTCCAGGGATTGGGGGCAGGGTGAGTGCAGGATGACGACAAATGTGCAGAACAAAAGAATCTGGGATGGACTGTTCTTGGAAAAAATTTTTACCAGCTGTTCTTCAGACAAAGCTCCTCTAGAATATATAAAGAACTAAAAATCAGACCCCACAAATATAAAGATCCAATTCAAAAATAGGCATCTGAAATGAACAGACATTTCTTAGACAAAGAAGTAAAAGCAGCAAATAAGCATAAGAAAAAACGTTCAGCACCACTGGTCATTCGAGGGATGCAGATGAAAACAGCACTGAGATTCCATCTCACCCCAGTAAGAATGGCTGCTATCAAGAAATCAACCAGGGGCTGGGGATTTAGCTCAGTGGTTCTGCTGCCTGCCTCACAAGTGCAAGGACCCAAGTTTGATCCCCAGTACCCCCACCAAAAAGAAATCAACCAATAACAAATGCTAGCAGGGCTGTGGGGCGATAGGAACCCTTCTTCATTGTTGGTGGGAATGCAGACTGGTGCAACCACTGTGGAAATCAATATGGAGATACCTCAAACTAGGATTAGAAGTCCCATTTGACCCAGCTATTCCTCTGCCGGGTATCTTCCAAAGAATTAAAAGAATCATACCACAATGATATATACTCACCCATGTTTATAGCAGCAGTTTGTAATAGCTAAAATTTGGAAACAGCCCAATTGCCCATCAATTGGAGACTGGATAAAAAAGATTTTTTAAAAAATAAAACAGACTACTACTCAGCCATAAAGAATGAGAAACTAGAGATATTTATAACTAAGTGGATGCATATTGAGACCATACTCTTAAGTGAAATTAGTAAGTCACACATGTGTAAATACCGAACAGTTTCTCTGGTGTGAAAAACTAAGTCTAAATAAGGATCAAAATGTATACTTGATATTGTGAAACAGAAGAAAAGGTCTAAAAGAATAGAGGAAGTGGGAGGGGTATAGGAAAGGTAAATAGGGAAAAGAAAAAATGTCTTTGTAAACAGGGAAGGGTGGAGGGGGTGAAGGAAGGGCAGGGGAATGGGGAATAATAAGAACCAAGATAACTCATGTAAAGGTAGAAGATCCCAATGATGAATGTAACTGTATTGTACACCTAAAATGTACCAATAAACTTAATAAAGATAAAAAGAATAAGCTGTGGGCGAGGATTTAGCTCAGTGGTTCCACCGCTTGCCTTGCAAGTGCAAGGACCCGAGTTTGATCCCCAATACCAAAAGAATAAGCTGAAACTTGAAGTGATACACAGATATCATCAGGAGAGAAGAGTGGGCATTTGTGGCAATAATCACTATTTTTTTGGTACTGGGGACTGAACCTAGGGATTTTGTGCTAAGCTTTTGAAACAGGGTCTTGCTAAGCTGCTAAACTGCCCATGCTGGGCTTGAACTTGTGATTCTTCTGCCTCAGCCTCAATGAGTGCTGGGATTACAATGGGGTGCTACAGCACCCACTATGCCAATACTTATTCTTGAGCTACATGAATCTGACCTAGTGGTAATCAGTTAGGTAATTTTTGTTTTAGGTATCATTTAGGTAATTTTTGTTTTATTTTACTAGTATATATTTTGGCTATTTGCAGTTTTTGCTAGTAGAAATAATACTTTTTAGGGTTGCATTTCCCATGTAATGCTTGTGAATTATTTAGAGCACACCTTAATATCTCATTCTAGTCAAAAGTGGCATATTCTGGCATGTGAGAAATAAAACAGTGTATCAGATATTTATTTCAATCCTATTATTTTCTAGACGCAGTAGCAAATGAATGAAAGGCAGATATGACAAGACCACCTCAAGGGTAGTCTCTGATTTCAAAGGAACCTGTGAAGGGAAGAATGTGACATGTATTTCTATGATGAGAGCATTATTGAAGAGTTATCAGCAAGACATCAGTCCATGATGGCACACCATTTCCCACATATCCTTCACTAAGTTCTAGAATGATTTCAGGAGCTCACAATTCCAAATCATATTGTTAATGCCTAGAATTCCCACAAGAGGAAATTAAACTTAGGCTATAAATATGAGATTAAAGGTTTATAGTGAATTATTGTTATTAACAATACCTTCCTTTAAGCTCATGAAAATCAATTTTAAATGACTGTTCTTATATTCCTCCGAGTTCAGTGTTTCAGAAAGAGCTTTTTTTTTTTTTTCCAACAACCTGGCACTTAATGTAGTATCAGGAATGTAAGCAAATTAACTTTTACACACTCACAATTTCTAAAAGGTCAGACTTTATAGTAAAAGTGCTTATTTTCCGATGGTTTCCTTCATGGAGGTAAAAAACCTACTTTTTTTTTTTTTAATGCTGACAAATATATTTACTGCCTGTATCTTCCCATACTGTAAACACAGAATCCCTTAAATGATATCCAGGGAACAATTAGGAGCTCGGATTCATGCAACCAGTATTAAATTGTACTGTACCAAAGAAAGCTTCACTGGAAAAATATTTCCAAACACAATTGCAATGGCTGCACCTCACCTTTTGATTTCTCCACTTGTTGAGTTTCATCCATTTCAACAAGGGGCTTTTTGTTTGGAGGTTCAGGGGAATCAGGCGAATCTTTTATAATCTCAGCTTCAGCCAACTCTTCTTTCCCATGTTCTAAAATTCCTTTCAGTCTTTTACAGGAACGAATAAGTGAAAGGTACAGTTACAATTTTTAGAAGTTTACAAACACTGTCTTCGCATGTCAGTCTTATATTTATAAGACAGCTTATTGCACAAGTGAGCCTAGGGATTAATCAGATGTTTCCATCTAAAATAAGACAGTTTAATGAATTAAACACAAATTTCTCTTTTCCTTCATAAAAATAATGTAATGATTTAGGAATTCATCAGCTATAAAATAGGCGAAATTAAAGGAAAACTTAAGGTGCAATTAAAAAGGTGAGAATGTGATCTTTAGATCACAATTTTGATGATATGGGCAAACTACTACTCCGAATTACAAAGATTACGTTTACCATCACTATCATAGAAAAGTCTGTGTACTGTGAAAATGTATTTAGGTTCCACTAGTTAGGAGCATAACTAGAAAGTTTTTACTGAGTTTTATCAGGGAACAAAAACACTTTAAAATATGCAGAAGTATACTTGAAGGTCAGTGGGAGCTGAGAACCTTTTTTACTATTTTTATAGTGAGCCAATTTTGTTTCAGAAGCAGTAACCCTGAGGAAAATGTGAACTTCTAAAGTCAAAGTGAATAAAAGTAGGTCTACTTATTTATGGATAGAATTAAATTTCAAAATAAAGGAGAGGTGGTGAGGATATTGAGTGTATTCATATATGCATAAACCGGGATCTGCCATGAGTGGAAGTTGCTGAAGGGAGATGATGGGTATCTATTTCTTCGGTTATAAACGTTTCAAATTTTCTATAAGAAAAGTTACTTTGCTTTTATGGGACTGACTACAGTGCCATCATAGTATTTACCTAGTTGTCTGCTTGATTTCTGGCAAGGTAGTAGAAAATGTAGCCAACTGTGCTATGATATTTTTATTTACTGATCTTTATTACTTTTCATGGTTTTTTTTCAAACTTAACCCTGACATCACTATAGAAATCATGAACTAGATGAAAAGGGAAAGAGTGTGTACTACTGAGGGATGTTTTCAGAGTTAGGACTGTATGCTCTTCCTCTGTGCTCCCAAAGGCCTCTGGTGCCTAATTCTACAAAGGCACCTTCCACACTTCACTCCAATTGCTCACCTGCTTGCCTGTTTCTACCACAGCACCCTACACCCTACCCAGGCGGGAATATTGTGCCAAATGACTGGCACATTACAGGCATTAAGAATTTACTGGATTTGTTTTGAAATTCCTAACATATAAAGCACATACTGATACCAAACATCACGTACTATGATTTTTGGAAGCTAGTTAGGAAAAAGTAATGCTGTCTTTGTCCCAAGAGTAAAAACTTATACCTTTTTAAGTTCAAGGAAGATTTTCTAGATTTTAAGAATGATAAAATTAGTTATATAATAAACACACGTTAAATGAAACTTGAATTGTCTGCACATGCTCTATTAGAATGTGATACGCCACAAAGCCCTGAGCTGCTATATTTAGGCCAAGAGGTTACCTCTCTGAATCCTGCCAAGATTTTTCTTGTTCATACTCTTTCATCACTTTTTCTGACTTGTCTTCTTTGTCCTCCCGCTTTCTCCCTCGTTTCTTTCGTTCTTCTTCTTCGGGGGGTTTGCTTCTACATGCCATTAGACATTCCAAGACTCTCTGGTGTTTCTCTGAGTTGTTGATATGGGCTCTGACAAGGGTTTCTAATTCATTCCACATGATACGATATTGTTCATCTCTGCAGTAGAGATTTAAAATAACACTCAGAAATACTCTTTAAATAAATATTTAAACATTAAATCATAGTGACGTGCTACTTGCTATTTGCAAAGTAAAAAAAAATAAATAATGGACTTTACTTAACAAATTACTGGTGGAATTCTAAGTTATAATGTATCCATGTCGACCATTCTGTATCTCTATCATATGTACATATGTATACATACAAACCCTCAAGTTAAATCTTCACATGTGGAATAAGTTATCCTTTTTTCTTTTTGTCTTTGTATTTTTCAGACAGGGTCTCACTATGTAGTTCAGGCTAACCTTGAACTCACTATGTAGCCCAGGCTGGCCTCGAACTCACAGCGATCCTCCTGCCTTAGTCTCCCAAGTGCTGGGATTACAGGTGTGTGCCACCACGCCTGGCTTGGAATAAATTATTTTAAGAAACAATATGTATCAAGTAAATGTTATGTATAAAGAAAGTAAGAAAAAACTACCTTTTAGGGCCCTTTCCTCTTGTACCAACTGTGGAAATAGGTAGAGGATCATTTTTTCTTTCCATATCAACTAAGTTGTATATTGTTTTTTGACAGTTTAACACATCTTCTTCTGTCAAAGATTCTTTCACAATAACACTGGCTAATGGAACTACCTGTTAGATTTTTTTTAAAAGAAAAAAGAAAATCTGTCTTGAAAAACAAATATCAAAGCATCTAGGCAGAGTTGATTTTAATACTGACTTTCAAGATCACCATGGTGAAGAAATCTGTAACTAATACCTCCCTACTTAACTACTAATTCTGTAACTATAGCAAATATATATTTCATTCTGTGCTTCAGAACTGTTATCAATTACAAATTTTCTAATTTGTTTCTACAAAAAAATATATAACTCATCTGGAAGAAACTTTTTATACTCACCGCCTGCATGTTGAAAATGGTGGTTTGTGAAATAATCATAGGCCAGTAACGGGTGTGTTTTTCTAACTGATCTTTTGCTCGTTCCAAAGGGATCTCAAGACTTCCATCGATTTTATATCTGGGGTCTAGAAAAGGAGTTAATCTGTTTTCCCTCATAAATTCACCAAAATCCTAATGATAACCAAATAAGATAAAATTAGAAAATATTTCTAATGTTTCAAGGTGGAATACATGTAATAGTCTGTTCCCCTCACCTCTCCTGTGATTTTCAACCAATCATTTTCTCTTAATAATATCCCCCAAATCATTACTTTTTCCCCTTTTCGAACTTGAAACCTATCAGCTTTTATAGAATGGAAATGAAGAAAGCCTCAAACATACATCCATTCATGCTACTTTTTCCATTTGAAAAACTGAAGAATATTCACTTTATTTCACTCCTGCAATTAAAGTTTTTTTTAACCAAATGGAAGAAGGAGTCAATCACATCAGAAGACCAACTTGCTTAGTTACTCAGAAAGTAACCTGACAGAACATCAAAGTGTTAGCATGGGTTATCTTTGAATGATGGAATTACAGGTAATTTACAGGTTTTTCTTTTTTTTTAGCATGTTCTAAATTTTCCACAATGAATACCAATTAGCTTTCTCCTTACTAAAATAATTTTTGAAAGAAAGATATGTGTAGTCAAGAACAAGTACTTTAAATGTATAATATGCAATTTACAAAGTATACTTACATAGGTATGTCACACTTGTGGTATAGTTTTTATACAGATAAATCACACTTAATTTTGTAACCACCTTAAAAAGTAGAGTCACAAAATACCAAATATAAAAGGAGGAGGGAGAATGAAAAATTAAAATAAAAACAACAGGATTTCTACCAAAAACACACACTAATTTCTTGTATATTCCTTCCAATAACATAAAAGTTAATTTATTTAAAAGTAGCAACCATCAAAATATTTAAACATTTTTGCCTACCATTTGTTACTAGAAACTATATTCCATTAAAAATATTAGCTCAGATAAATTTTCCTTCTCTTAAAATCCGTGTGTTCATACACTTCTTGGTACACACTGAATATGTAACATGGAAGGTAAGTGACACACAGGTCCTTTAAGTAAGTACTACAAAACATTCACTTAAAATAAAAAATAATATTCTTCCAAACCTACTTTTTTCCACATCTTAGTATACAACAGGAACTCAGAAACTACTTGCTGACAGACTCGAAACAAAATTTATAGCAAAGGCTTACTGTAATCCGGTAGTCTGTAACTCTTCCTCCACATCCTTCACTAATTGAAGGTGGATCCTCCAGAATGGATCGAGAACTGCTAAGGACATGCAAAAAAATCTCTCCTCCATGGCTACTGAGCATATGACTAATAACTTTGGAACCTGATTTTCGTGGTTGCTCCAATAAAACAGAACGACCTGTCAAAAGCAAGGTTATGCTATCAGTAATGAAAATCAAATGGGTTCTTACAATTCCCCACTACTGCAAAATCCAAAAAGGCTATGTTTAGATTTTTTCATTTTATTTACTGATTCCCATATTTTAAGCAATACTGCTAATATAGTATGCTTACATTTCAATTTCTAAAAGTATGAATTCTAGCCTGAGCTTACTGTCAGACACCTCAAGGTTACACAGTAAATGGGACAGTTTTCAAGAAAAAAAAAAAAAAAAAAACTAGATCTGGTATGTTTACTGTATAGTTTACTCAAGTTCAAGTTCCCCCCAAAAATCTTTTTTTCTGAACTTTCAAGGTGAGACAACTGGATAATTATCTGGTTCCTACTACTCCAAAATATTTTGGGAGGAGGCAGTCTCAATTTACTTCTATAACACTGCATCTTCAGCACTGTTATGAGTATGAATGTTCTTTTTCATGGGTAAAATGTTGTTAAATTTGCATTTTAGGGCTGGGGATTTAGTTCAGTGGTTCCGGTGCCTGCCTTGCAAGCACAAGGGCCCAAGTTCGATCCCCTGTACCAAAAAAAAAAAAAAACCCCAAAAAACAACAACAAAAACACATTTTACATAATCTGATATTCCAAGTGTGGGATTTATTAATTTTTTTTCACACAAAAAAACAGATAAAAATTACATGCTGTAATGCTGAAAATGTACTTACATATAATGAAGCGCTCAAAGAGAAATACATTCATATACTTTGTAATTTAAAATTTGGTGGGCCAAAATAAACGGTATATATATTATTCTAGCTTCCAAAAGAAATCAAGTTAGACTCTAAAGGTCAAATGATTTTAATAAAAATACTTACTATAGTAAATAAAACTCATTTAGATATAATAATCTGAAAACCAGTCATAGTCATCCTACCTTTAAATCTTAATAAACCTTTTAAAGGACATTTCCAATTATGTAATTTTAAAACAGCTTTGACAAATGGACTACACTGACACAAACAACTTTACACAGCTCATGTTCACACTTACAATAATCTCAGTAAAATCATTAAATTATGAAAGTTACCATTTAGAAGAAAGTTAGTAAGGCAGGAAGAAGGTCTACTATTTACATCTACAGGTGAAATTCGATAAGCTCCAGTACAATAGTGTAATTCTGAAATAGAAGAAAACACTGATTTGAAAGAATATAAAGAAATATTCCCACAATTAAAAAGAAAATAGCTTATATATTGAGCCTGTAAAACAATGAAAAAAAGAAATTAGTTAATCCTCATAGAATACTCTAAGAACCTTTGCTCTATTCTTCCCTCTTTCGATTATTTTACAATACCTACCAATGTTATTTGTCCTTGGCGTGCACCACTTTAAGGTTATCGTCTCTTTAAATGGGCCTTCTCTATTGCTGCCACCCAAGTGGGTATCACCTTTAAAAATATGTCAGAGAAAAATTAACAAGATTATATAGATCACAACTTCAAACAAGTTGTTTACATAAGATTTCAGAGTAAGTACGAGCTCTGTAAGAGAAAATAATTCTGGGAAAACATCTTTCTTTACAAAGTACCCTAGAAAAATGCTAAAAAGAGTAAGGATATTCACTATTAAAAGTAGCATGTAATTTCCCTCCAATTTTTTCATTAATTAATAGTTTAGGAGGCCGGGGATTTAGCTCAGTGGTTCTACTGCCTGCCTCGCAAGCTCAAGGTCCTGAGTTCAATCCCTGGTACCAGAAAAAAAAGAAGTTTAGGACACTGTGTTAACAGCAAAATTTCTGTTTGAATCAGACATCTCCAATGATTTCTCCCTGCCCATGCCATTAAATGATATAACAGCATAGATAGATACTTTGAGCAAACTTAAGAAATTCAAAATGTACAAAAAATTATACTACTGAATTCTAAAGAATATATTTAGAAAAAAACATAAGCAAAGGAATCTAGGAAGGAAGTCTGTAAAGAGATACTATAGTGAGCACTTTTTGTTTTTACTTAACGAAATCTGCAGCAGCACATGTTATGCATAGTCATGCATTAATACATGTTAATGAACAATAAATGTAAAATTACTAAGTTGACAATGTTCTCAAGGAGATAATACACAAACATCTGTAACAGACATCAGCCTATTGATTCACCAGGAAAAACAAAAAGCAAAGCAAGCTTCTTCGAGAAGTGGATTAGTCTGAATCCTAAGAGAATATGTAGAAGTTATCTTTTTAAAAAGGAGGAAAAAGTATTAAGGCAAAGGAAATTGCAGCAGATGCCAAGATCCTGTGGCAGGAGGGGTAACATGAGGACCATCAGGTCTGCATGGCGAAAATGTGTGAAACGAGAATAGAAAGGAGAAGGAGCCAGATGATGCATGGCTCTGTAGGACATTTAAAGAATTCTGTCTTTATCCTAAGGGCAACAAAAAAGTGTGGAAGGTTTAAGCTAAAGGTAACAGGGTTGAGATCAGCATTCTGAAAGTTCATCTAGCAGTAGGGTAAAGAGCAACTACAGACATCAGGAGGCAATCCTGGGATGCTAGGTCAAAAAACAGCAAGGCTTCATTAGGGAAATGATAATGGTAGTAGGGATGCAGATGAGAATATATTTGAGAGACACTTAGATGAAATCAAGAAAATGTGATAATGACTTAGATATGCAGACGGACAAACATGTTTCAAAGATGATTCTGAGGTTTCTGCCTTATATGACTGCATAGACAACAGGATGGTTCACAAAAAAGGAACAATAAAAGACCAGTTCAAAGGACAAAGCTCCTAAATTGTGCCGGGCATGCTGAGTTTAAATCCTCAGCAACATCGACGAAGTAGAACCAGGCACTGGAAGATACCGATCAGGAACTACATCTGGGCTCTAGTATAAGTCCACCACTTGCCAAGATCCAGCTGTGCCGCCAGCTCCTCAGGGAGGCCTGACCAACGCTTAGAGACATACTCAAGCACGTGGCGCCTCCTCTACAAATCAAGCTAACTACTACTTTAAGGAAATATTTTGCATTAATGAGGATTTTTAAAAAACATTTTGAGTTTCAAAATTAAATAAAAATCACCCCACAGGTTCTTAGCAATAGATTTCCATAAATTATACTTTCAAAAAAAAAGTTTTTCTCCATTCCTTTATTAAACATAAAAGATGCACTTATCACAACAGTTTACCCTCTGTTAGCAACTAACTCCTCAGGTGAATTCCAAAATTCCTTAGACATGTAAGAGATGTTGGGACTAGCTCTTAATTATAATTCAGAATAGATGCACACAACATAACTAAAGTTGACCATTTAATTTTGTGATAACATCAATCTCTGTAGAAAACATCATAAAGGGTTTAACCAAATGTTAAAATCTCAAAGGCTCTGAAAATAAACTTCAAATTTTAAAATTTCTTTGAATTTGAGGATTGAAAGGAGTATAAGAATTCATCTAATCCATCATCTTTCATTTCAAGAACCCAAACCAAAGTATAGAAACATGGAACTTGCCAGCTGGTAGCAAAGCTTTAGCTAAAGCTCTTATACCCTAACTCTAGAGTCTTCTCCCCCAAGCCATGCCAGTATGGTTATAGAAACCGTAGTTCTGGGGATGAGACATACGGGTTGAAAAAAATTTTACAGGAAAAAAACTAATTTAAATTTCAAAATTTTCATACAGTTTAGCTGTAATTCATTCAAAGCTATTTCCACTCTTTCCCTGTGTTTGCTTAAAGGAGATAAACTTTATGTGAGTCTGAAAAACTCTTACGTTTGACAAAATCATGGTGATCCTTCTTAACACAGTGGTACCTTAGTTACAGAAAGCTTTTGTTTGCAAATAATTTGGTTTACAAATAGAAGCGTTTGGCAAAATTTTGTTTTGGTTTGTGAACTCTGCATCGGGTGACAAACACAACTGGCCATCTTTCTCAAACAAACAGGAATGTGACCATCTTTTCCAGGATCGTGGAACAAATTAAATTCATGAACTGAGGTACACCTAGTCTTCCCCAAAGTACTGTAAATCATGTAGAACCCTAGTTCTGCCACCATTAATAGATGATACTGTCAGATAGGTTTGGAGAGAATGACTAAAGTCATTCAGGTTTGTTTATGAAGAACTCAGAAGTGTTAATATACTTTTACATGTTAGAACTTACAAAAAACATTACTTTCAAATGTCTCTTACCACTCTTCAGGAAATCTACATGTGCATCTTTGTGATGAAGCAGTTCCACATCATAATTGGCAGATGTGTTAGCATGTTGTTCTTCCTTTAAGCAAAATTGAAAACATTCAAAATAACTTGGTTTTGCTTTCAAAATAATGAAATTAATTATTCATTTTGCTTTTTTGCTTAAACTGAGGTCAAATACATTCAACCATAATTAACTAAACTAATGGGATAGTTTATTCAGTAATTAATTTATTTAAAGATGCAACAGGTTTCAACAGCACTATATTACTTAAAAACTATTGGCAACACACATATGTAAAATATTTAATTATTTTCTTACATTATGTCAGAATTAACGTAACTGACTAATCCAAATATTCTGGAAGTTATTTTTAACTCCAAATGTATTGTCTTGCCATTACTTTCTATATATTAATAGAGTATAAGTGAAATAATGTATTTAAATTGAATGTAAATAGTGTTAAAAAGAGGAAAGCATCTTTAAATACCTGCAGTGAAGCAATTAACATCAATGATACAAAATAGCAAATACAAACTAATAGACAAGTTTAACTTGTTTTCACAAATAGAAACTTCAAAGTTATGTTTACTAAAAACACAAAGATTGAACAGTCACACCAGAACAAATTCAACAAGCAAGTCATCTATGACCCTCATTACATTTTTCTTCTAGCTCATTAAAGTAATAAATTATATACATTAAAGTACACCTACAATAGCACACAGTATATTATTTTCTTTGTTAATTGCTTCTGCATTGAAAGGTTTAAAACATAAGCCTAGGGCTGGGGATTTGGCTCAGTGGTTCTGCTGCCTGCCTCGCAAGCGCAAGGACCCGAGTTCGATCCCCAGTACCAAAAAATAAATAAATTAATAATAATAAAAAAAACCATAGGCCTAAAATTCCTAGTAAACAACCAGCCAATGAAATTAAAAGGAAATAGGTAATGAAATAGCTGTATTTATCCTGTAATTTAGTGTTCATGGTGTAGTAGCAAAAAATTCAAACTGGACTATAGGAAAGCCAATGTAAACTTTTAGGTATAGTAGTTACTTGTTTTAGATATAATCAATATAATTATATTTGGGCCGGGGATTTAGCTCAGTGGTTCCACCACCTGTCTTGCAAGCGCAGGAACCCAAGTTCAATCCTCAGTACCAAAAAAAAAAAAAAAAAAAAAACAAAAAAAAAAAGAACAAACAAGAACAAAAAAAAAAAAAAAAAAGGA